CATATAAATAATTGAGTCATGATGCAATTATTTTTTGAGAATTTTGGGAATTGAGTCAACAGCAAAATAATTTACACCACATGTATACTATAGACCTATAGGTCTAAAAATATTATTATTATAAATTTTTAAATAAGTTTTTTTATATAAGTAAAAATTATTATTTACTTATTAATTAAAAAAATAAATAATTATAAAAAATAATTATAAAATATAGATAATTTTAAGAAAAGATTATTATAGAAAAAAATTTTATAAAAATATGTTTTTTAATTTAATAAAAGAATTAATAAAAAAATATTATTATTAATTAGTATGATAAATAATATAAATAATAATTTTGTTTGTTTGTTTGTTTTAAAAAACTTTATTTATAGTATAATAAAATAGGATAATGTATATTTTTTTTTTGAAGGAACAGGCGGTCCTCACGCATTATTTTTTTTTTAATATGATAATATATTTAAAATTTTATAATAAAATAGTTCTTAATAAAAAAACCCAAAATTATAAAAATTTTTTTTTTGCAATTTTTATTGTTACACGTGCATACTCGTATATAATTATTATGTATGAGTTGTAACACTATACTTTATTATTCAAATTTTTATAGTGAAAAAATATCTTCTCTACCTGTAATGAGCTTTCGTTCGGTATCTCGCTTAGTAAGTACGCCTTATAATGATTTAATGCAATCAATAATTAACGTCTATTTTCCTTTTTTACTTTTAATATCTTAGATTTCATTCGGTCGCCACGTCAACGGCACAATTTTGACCTCACGCATAAAACCATTAAACAATAGAATACCGAAGCAGAACCCTTCTTTACTATGCAGATATATATCGAGCGAATTGAAGGCGACTCTCGACGGAGTATATACATTCAATTTACTCTGTCTTAATCATAATACTGATGTTTAAATATATAATTAATTAAACTGTTATTCCACTTTAGTCTGTTCAAAAAAATGATCTGGTAATATTTATGAAAGGTACGCCAGAAAAACCACAGGTGAATACACTATAATATATTATAAAGTTTAGTGCATATGAGATCATTGACTCAAGATTTTACTCATATCTAGTGCGGATTCAGTCGAGCTGTAATCCAAGTTTTTGATACACAAGGTAGTTAAAA